CATCTCTTCCCAATACAACATGGCATTAATGAATTCTCAAAACTGGAATTCCCTACAAAATCATTTAAATATTTATATATGAATATTGAATAATACTAAGTACGGAGTATATATTTATTACACATACATAAATTACGACACTAATATAGTACTCCATTCCTCTTGACTTGACACAATTATTAATTAGTAAAGTGGTTGAAAAAGTAAAAGTTGTGGTTGAAATTTGAGTATAATAAAGTGAAATGGTGCATGTCACATATTTCTTTCCAAAAATGAAAGGAGACACTTATTTTGGGACAACCCAAAAGGAAAGTAGGACATATAAAATGGGACGGAAGAAGTAATATGTACTGGAGGCCTGGAGCCTGGAGGCAAGCTACTCATATACGTTACGTAGTAATTCTTTATATAAATAAATTAGAGAGAAGAAAAAATTAACCTCGTTGATACAATTCTATATATATGCAAAGTACATGTCTGTGTAAAATTAGCAATAGAAAAATTAGATGACGTTCACTTAACGTTGGGGTAATTAATTAAGCCCGGTTAAAAATAATTAATTCGGCCTCGGACTATATAATTAAATTTTAATATAAAAAACTTTTTCGATCAATAATACATCCTATACAACTCAAAACTTGTAAAGAATAAAGCAGTGTTTGCGGTTGCTTAAAAAAAGTGCTTTTCAGCTTTTGGCTTTAAAAAAGCTAAAAAGAGTGTTTTCAAATGACAGATTCTGCTTAAATTAATCACTTAAAAGCTAAAAGCTGGAAGCAGGTGGAAGGGTGCTTTAAACTGCTTTTCACTTTTTCTATTACACAAAAAGTACTTATTTTACCACACTACCAACTTTTACTTTTTTCAGAATCACTTTTTTCTCAAACACTACCAACTTTTACTATTAATCACTTTTTCCAAAATCACTTTAAAAAATCACTTTTTTAAAGTTGAAGCAATTGCAAACACTCCCTAAACAATTTGGAGCCGCTACAGTCTACAGTAAGTATATACTTGTACTTCGTATTAAGTTACACATCTATATCTATATCTATATAATATAATAAAGCAAACCCTTATGGAATGCTTTGGAGAATTTTTTGACATGTGGCAAAACTCTTAATGGGAAATTTGCCAAGTGGCATCCCCATATTAAATTTCACTCCATGTTTTTGTAGTAGTTATTATAGTTATTATGTACGTAAATATGATAAGAGACAACATTATATTTATATATGCATGTAAAAGAAAATAAAAGGAAAACCTACTCAACTTCTAAAAATGCATACATATAAACATAAATGAAACCATTTTAAGCTTCTCAATAAACGTACATACTAAATCATATGTGCACATCATTTATAAGCATTTAAAAAGGTAAAGGAAAGTCTATTCACATTCCAAAACTCCGTGTATATATTATACTATGTATTATACTGCCTTTGTTCCATTTTATTTGTCATATTTTAGTTTGACACAATTATTAATAAAATGTTTGAAATAGTAAAAGTTGTAGAAACTAGAGATTTGAGTATAATAAAGTGAAATGCAGTAGATCACATATTTCTTCTAGAAAAAATGTGACACTTATTTTGAGACAATCCAAAAAGGAAAGTAAGACAGATAAAATGAGACAGAGGGAGTAACATAAAGGACAACCTCATCTGCAAGCTGAAAGTGTTGCAATTATATAAACCGGAGTTCGGAGGTCAGATCGGAAACATTCAGATAATAATTATTATGATAATATTTATGATGATGATGATGATAATTGTAATAATACTAATGATAATGATGATGATGATGATAATTGTAATAATGATGATGATGATGATGATAATTGTAATAATACTAATGATAATGATGATGATGATGATGATGATAATTGTAATAATGATGATGATGATGATAATTGTAATAATGATGATGATGATGATGATGATATGTACACATACATTAATATCATACTAATTGATACTCGGGATAACAATACCCCAATTATGGATAACTATTAAAGCCCATTACTCGAGATTAATAAACACAGCCCATTACTCGGAATTAATAAATAGAATAAATTGGGCCTAACAGGGGGGATCATGGCCCGTGTGGGGACGCCCATATCCAGGCTGACCTGTTCAACAAGTCATGAGCTCGAGCGGGATTCCATCAATGTTGGACTCACTCTAGGACTTACGTGGCAAGCCATCTACAAATGGATAACTATCTGGCAGTGGTAGGAATTAAACTGAAGAGATGTGGACACAAATGAGCATTAAATGCGGGACTTATGAGATAGGTTAGAAAGGTCCTCCCATGATTAGACCTATTAAATGTGTCGGTTATGTCTCCTAAGACTAACGTCTAGAGCAAACACTTTAGAATGTACTTTACCGTGCGATGCACGGGTACACAAACTAGTAATATAATAAAGGAATCCCTTAGAAGAACCAATGAAGGAAGTTTTGACATGTGGCACTTCCTTTGAAGTAAATAATTGACACATGACATCAAATAAATGACAAAGTAAATGATATTGCATTCCATATTGCAATTGATAAATTGCAATCCCATACGCCCAACTTTTGACCTTCCAACTTTTTTTATTTTCAGTTTCTCTTTATATTTATTTCTCAAAATTTATGTATAAACTTAAAGTCAAAAGCTTTTTGTACCACTACTTAAATAGTTGAAAATACTATGAATTACACAAGAATAATAAAAACTAAGAGTCATTTGGTAGGATGGAATCGCCAGAATCTTAAATTGATGAAATTGGATTGAAGTTGTTCAATATGATAAATTATGAAAATATTATATTTAAAATATATTTTATTAATAAAATTAAAAAAATTATATTGGAATAGCTAATTTATCCTTTGAGTGAGTTTAGTCAATTCAGACACAAAAGTAACTTCAGTCTTACTTCTTTTGGTTATTACACAATTAGCGCACGAAATCCAACTCACGTTTTTTGTGAAAAATTAAATAATAATACTGATATGTTCAAAATAAGGTTACCAAACGCGGTCAACATATACGGACTGTTTTTTTGGCATCTTAGAATAAACACACATTGCTCTACTTCATTTCCCAAACTTCAGTACTTACTTATTCATCGGATCTTTTTATTAAACTAATGTCAGTCTTAAATCATATCACATCACATTACATCAAACCAAATCAAAGGTAAACAAATTATATCATATCAAACATAATTACAAAAAATTAAACAGACCACACCATAAAATTTAATTCTAACTAAAAAATCTTACTCAATTTTTATGAAATAATTTTCTATTTTTTTCCTAAGTATGATGACTATAGACCTCTATTTCATTCTATTTTGTGTCACTTATTTTCAATTTGTTCCAATATGTTTGTCTCATAATCGATATACGTTCTAAATCATTATTCCTTTGTTATTACTAAATACTACATCCATCCCATTAAAAGATTCTCATTGTAAAATAACACAATTATTTAGATAACAATTAAATATGATAATTCCAGTATATTTGAGAAATAAATTTAATATGTATACAATAATGAGGTTAATAGTGATACCTGTGATGTTATAGAGGTTGTTTTTCATTAGTATTTGAAGATTATGTTGTCATTTAAGAGTGTTAATTGTTTCCTAAAATAGAAATGATAATCTTTATATGTGATATCTAAAAAAGAAAGTGAGAACTTTTACATGAGACGAAGAGAGTATTATTTTATCAATTGAATATCAATGGTAAAAATACCTATATATGAGTAAAACTCATGCCAATTCCTAAAATATGACCATGGATATGATGTTTCTTTCTCAATGTATGACTAAATATGTATGGAATGAAACCAGAAAAGGGAAACACTTGGTGATGGTATACTGTTATGGTACATGTTATTTGGCATTCTTTAAGGAAAAAAAAGATATAAGTCATAGTTTGAGAAACTTACAATGTTTTGGTCATATATAAAGGGTAATTTTATCAATATCAATCATATAAATTTACTTTTCTTAAAAACATCATCACATTCTTAATAAGTTCAATATAACTCACAAGTGTTAATAACATCATACAATTTCATACCCCTACTATCGTGTTCTTTTTTATATTTTCTTTTACATTTTTCATAACAAAAACTTTAACACATACCTTACCGTGCAACGCACGGGTACACACACTAGTAAAAATATAAAAAGGTTTTGGAAATCAAATTTATCACTTTCCACTCAAACAATGGACCATTTAATAACACTAAAATTTGCTGAGTTGGTTGAATATGTCGAAATTTTTAGGAGTTTTTTTTCTAATTAATGTTAATTAATTAATTAATTACGAAAATAATGCTGGAAAAAAAGTATTTACCAATATACTGCTGGTCCTTAACCATGGTCAGGGGTAAGTCGCCCAACGGTTGGGCGACTTATAAGTCGCCAAACCGTTTGGTGACTTATAAGTCGCCCAACGGTTGGGCGACTTATAAGTCGCCAAACCGTTTGGCGACTTATAAGTTGCCCAACCGTTGGGCGACTTACCCCTGAAATATGGCTGAAGGCGAGCAGCTACTGCCAGCCACGCACGATCGTGCGTACCCTGGGACGCACGATCGTGCCTAGGTCCAAAAACAGTATTTGAGCAGATTTTTCGCCCCAATTCAACCCGGACTCATCTGTTTGCTATAAATAAGGTCTCTCTTCTCCTGTTTAAGTGTTACGAGCCAGATACAACACATTATAAAACATATTATTAAACATACAACACACGTATTCTCAATCACATACATAACACCCCCTCTCATCAACATAAAAAACACCTTCAAAATAACCGGTATAACAAAGTACAATCATTCAATATTCATAACAAGTAATCATCTAATATTCAGACTCGAACACATCAAGACAACATACAAGACTTTACAAGAGAAAATACGTCAAATGTTGTAAATTGTTCCTACAACATCTACTGCATAAGAAAAACTACAATACAAAAGACAGACTACAAGTTCCCATCGTCAGCTTCGTCATGGAGATGTTGTTGCTCCTGTCTACGCCTACGCCGTTGTCGTGGTTGAAGAACCACTCTCTCATGCTGCGTCTGGGATGATGAAGCCGCCGCTGCACTAGACGTGGATGGCATCTCCTGAGATGGTGGCATGTGTATAAGATGGCCGTAGTCGACTCGCCCCAACACATCTGAACACAAGGACGCAATGCCTGTGAGAGCCTGTCCATACAAGTCCACATCAGGACTATCAGTCACTGTGGCAGTAGCCCGCTGATGTATGCGCTGCAAAGCTCGTGTCTGAAATGTGAAACACAATTACATTTACATTGAAATATATACAAATATTACATAAATAAAACTCCTTACTTTACTAATTAGTAATATACTCACCGTAATATGCAAAGCTAAGGAACTAGGCTGATAATGATGAGTAGGGAGTCTGAACGAAGGAGACACAAACAAACGAGTGATGCTGTAATACCATCCCATGTAGTCTCCTGAAACAGATGGCACATATGTCGGTGTCCCGGCCACAACTAGCTCAGCTCTCCTTTCCCACATAGTCACATATCGGACATGTCTGAGTGCCCAATCCTCTGTATGCTTCCCACGCCTATCCAGCCTATGCAGCTCAACATAAGTGTCGATAGGCCGTGGAACCAGCTGCTCAAACCCAAACTGTCGCAAGACTCTATCAGGCAAATGAAGCTCAACAATGTCAAAACATATCAACGGCACACGTGCTCACCATCGGGGGTAAACCTTTTCTCACCTGATCCACTCATCCACGCATCAGTAAACCCTTCAGGGAGATCATAAATTCTAGTAAAATGGCTAGACGGGGCTGTTTTCGTGACAGTATCACCATCATCTTCATCAGATTCTGTCATGTCATCACCGTTGATGTTCTCGTCAGCATCATCATCAGTTCCCTGCCCATCCACAAATGATGCACCGTTGTGCAAATACCTACCATCTTCCTGTACAACCATGTTTAGTACAGGAGCCTTTGAGGAGTTCCCTGCATTCACCCCTGCACTGACATCATACGTAGATACGACACAGGATTCCTCAATGTTGATTGAGTACCATAGGCGTCACAGGATTCCTCAATGTATAGCTCAAGCGTCGACATATCTTCCATCTGAGTTATGCCCCACATATTTGTTATAGCTAGCTCATCAATGAGGGGCATAAGCATGTACTTTCCCCCGTTCATGGGAAATTTCATTTTCAACCGCAAAGAACGGCTAGGATGAATCATTGTGGCTGCATGTATTTTTTGAAGGATCTCCAGCATGCAAGCGCCACGAGAAACCATGACAAAGCTGGTTCTACCACCTTCAAGGCATATTTGGCCAGCATCCTCATAATAGTTTCCTCCCCAATGACATATGATTGGGAAGCTTGAGAAATCCATATTCTAATAACAATTCATTGTCCAACATTCATGAGTAGGCATCAATATACACACTTTAAACACAATCAAATTTTCAATAGAAAAAACTACCAAAATTGTAATATATCCAAAAGTCAAAATTCAAAAACAATTCACATTTGAATATGAAACTACCAAAATTTTGATATCTACATTCACGTCTAACTTTCAATACCCAAATTTAGCTACATTCAAGTCTACCCAAATGCCCAAATGTCAAAATACACATTAAATTTACAATCAATTTAAAATCAAATTTCAACATTTCATACATATCCACATTTCACAACAACTTAATTCACAATCAATTCATAATCCAAAAATTCGAAATTTTTAACATTCAAAACCCTAAGTTCAAAATGAGATGAAATGGAGTTTGATTTACCTAGAAGAAAGAAGAAAGAGTGTTGAAGATGAAGGTGGAGGTTCACCGGAATGGGGTCGCCGGAGATGGAGGTTCGCCGGAGTTGGATGCCTCTCCTCGATCGTCGTCCGTCGTCTTCTGCTTTCGTCGCTGCAGCTGAGAAGTATTGGGGGCAAGTGTTTTGTGCGTTATGTTTGTGGTTGACCCCGATTTTACTTAAGGGGTAAGTCGCCCAACGGTTGGGTGACTTATAAGTCGCCAAACCGTTTGGCGACTTATAAGTCGCCCAACCGTTGGGCGACTTTCCCCGACCCTGGTTAAACCAACAGTATTTTGGTAAATACCTGGTTAATTAAGTAATTAATTAATTAATTAACATTAATTCGAAAAAAAACTCAATTTTTAGATATAAATATTCCAAAAATTGATAGATAATGATTTTTAGTATATAATCAAACACTACCAAAATACACGGGATTGACATGGATTTTGACAGGGATTATGCAAAATATGTTACAAAAACACTTTAGATCAAACTATTTGGCATGAAAAGTTGGTAATACGTGCCAAATTTCGTGTCAATCAAGTATTTTTTTGTAGTGAAATGGAAAGTATAGAAAATTTGTAGAAATTAAATAATTCATAGCCAACACTTGAGGTAAAGATACGTGTAGTACTTATTTGCTCTCCTTTTTCTACTATCTGGCCTTCTATATATTCTCGAAAAGTCAGGCATATATATATATATATATATATATATATATATATATATATATATATATATATATATATATATATAGTATAGGATATTCAGACCCTTCATATAAAGATGATACAAATATATAGCAAATTATACATTCTGGAATTTCAAATAATGCATAAAAAATTGATTAAGTTTTCTAATAATTGTGTTTCATATTGGATTGAACCGTTGAACAATTTAACAATTTATTGGTGTTTTCTTATATTACCCCTTTTGTGCCCGTTCACCAATTTTTGTCCCATTTATCTTTTCATCCATTTCACTAAATTTATCACATACTCCATACTATATTTGATATATATGGTAGAGTGATGATAACCTATTCATATTTTACTAATTTAATACCAATCAAACGACTTCACTATTTTTAATAACCGTACCGATCACTCCATCATGTCTCAATTTTAAGGGGATGAGGTAATATTTATACGTAATATTATAATCGAAATAAAATTTTACAAAATTTAAAAGGTGACTGATTTTAGATTTGAATAAAGACGTGACTAATAAAGTGACAAAAGTGAAAAGTTATGAATGTAATGATCTCTTTAATTTGAACGTTATGTTAATAGGAGATTTCGTTTTCAATTAAAAACATGCTAAAATATTAGATGAAAATATACGTGAGCTAGAATGTACAAAAACAAAGGTCAAAAAGAATTTATTTATTTATTGTGTATCTAGCTATATATCCATACACATATTCGTATTATCTACCTGGGAGGTTGTTGTGAATGTTGAGGGCAGCGGTGAAGGCGGCATAAAGATCGATGATGACAAAAGGAGCGGTTCGGTTGAACTTGTTGAGAAAACTTACTAGCAGCTTGAGGAAGAAATTGTGGGCCACGGATAAGGCGTTGTAGGTGGCGTTGCAGCTGGGGTAACTGAAAGTGGACGGAGCGACGACGACGGCGGGTATGCACCCCACCGGTTGCATGCCGGTCACCGCTACTTTCCGGAATCCCATCCCGTAAAGCCGTTTTAGGTTCATTCTACATCTCACTCAACCCAAACACGTACGATCATTAGTTAATTGTCATAAAATCCTTAGACCCATTCACTTGAACTTTATAAACTTTAAAATATATTTTATTAATTAAAAAAGAAAAAATTGTGTGAAAAATAGCTGATATGATCCTCTACAGGAACAACCAGAAAAGTAACTTCAACTATACTTTTCCTTATTATTACACAATCCAACGCGGAAAATCAAAAGTCAAGTGTTTGATGAAAAGGTCGGCTAATAAACATGATAAGCCAAAAACATGGTCGCCAAATGGACTCTAAATTGAATTACGGAACTGAATACTCACTTCATCTCAAATTATTTTCCAAAGTATATTAGGGTCGAGAATTAAGATAATGAGAATTATATGGTGAATTATATATTATTCAGAAGAGAGAAAAGTGTGTAAAAATGTGTAAGAAATGCTATGAATTACAAATTATTTGTAAAAAAGAAAAAGAAAAGATTATTTTGTGATGAACCAAGAAGGAAATTTGAAAGATTATTTAGATTAGAGGGAGTATAATTAGTTTATGTAAATTTGAAAGATTATTTAGATTATTATTCAAATAGAATTTCGGCTACTCTAGAAGAAATAAATTACGTAGTAATTTTTTGTTAATCTTCCGCTTTATTTAAAAATACTGCGTATATTGTTTTAGAGTTAAAAATAGATTATATAAATGCAATATATTAGAATTATATACTAAATCGAGATTTACTTTTGTGTAAGATCAGAGAAAAAACGATATGAAATTCTATTTATGACATGGATGTGTTTTATTTTCTCAATATGTCATTATTAAAAATAAAACAACATCTATGGATACGATACAACCTATCCCACTAAGAAGTACATTTATACTATTTTACGTTTCTCTATATTTCCTTCAAATGCGTGAAATTTAAAGCACCACAAATGAATTGGAATGGGGGAAATCTGTTGGTAAATCAGTAAATGTATTTTTTTTTTGGGATCCTGTGCAGTTGGGCTCGCTGCATTCCCTTATTGCTGGCCCAGATAGGCAATCACTAACTATGCAATTGGTTTACACTTTACATACCCAAACAGAAAAAGTGTAAGTTGAAAAATACAACTCTATATACGGGATTGACACGGATTGATCAGTGATTTCATGATAAATAGCTCGTGTCAAAGTGTTTTTGCACGAATTTGACATATCCTGCCGAATGTTTCATAATTTTTGTAAAACCCCTTAAAAAATCTTTGTCAATCCCGTGTTTTTGTAGTGTATGTTACTAGTATGTTTATGTCGCTATGATTCAACTTGTAAGTAATGTAGTCATTCCCAACCGAGGAGACAAGAGCTACAGAGGATGAGAGATCGTCTTTGGTGTACACATTTTGTTCAAGGAGTTGTTGGAGAGAGTTAATCTGGGTCGTCAAGTTCGGCCCATTAACGGATGTGTTGAACACTCCTGTCCCTCCGTACGCAAAATTCATCCCATTTTGAGGGTTTTGTGCTTCCCCTCCACCCTTCCACAATTCATAAGCTTGGGGAGATTCTATTCCAAGGTGTGATGCTAATGGAACAACAAACAAAATTCAAAACCATAAACAGAATAAAATCTACCGCCTAACTAGCAAAACAAATAATTTTGTGTGTGTGATACATATAAATTTTTTATCAGTGTTTAACAAGAATCTCTTTACAAGATGAAAAAAATATTCATAGCATAAAAAATGACCTGTGGCGGTAAGGATGTTTTACTTGGACTGTAATTTGATGGTCTGGTCAGATCTGAACTAGTCTGGTCTGATCTGGTCTAAACTGGTCTGGTCTGATAATGTATGGTCTCTTTGTATTTTTATAACTATCTAAGTCTGGTCTGATCTGGTCTGGTTTGGTCTGGTCTTGGACGGAAAACAATCCAAGTAAAAACATCCTAAAAACAACATTTCTAAAAAAATTATGACTCTAAATCAGCTGACTCATTCTAGATCTGATTCTTGTTCGTTCCAATTCTTGTTCGCTCCTATTTTGGAGGCACCGAAATCAGATAGGGTGGCGGGTTCTATCCTACTTAAAGAGTAGTACAAGAGAGATCAGAGTTCAATTTTTTCAGATGATATTCTAGCTATTAGAATGTTTTTAGTTAGCTAGTCTGGTCTAGTCTAGTCTATTTAAGTTTCATATGATAAATGTTTAGTCTCTATACATATTTTATAACTATCAAAGTGTGGTCAGGTCAGGTCTGCTATTTTCAAGGTCGGTCTGGTCTGATTTGTTTAAATCTGGTTCGGTTTGTTCTGGTCTGGTCTTGGACTGAAAATAGTCCAAGTAAAAACATATTGGAGTATATGTTCTAATTTTTTTTTGTATCCGTTCTAACTAAATGACAACATCTTTGATCGGAATGAGATTCGAACTCTGTGACTTTTTCTTTGGAGAACCATAACGATGTCATGAGATCACAAGGTACTTGGAAACAGTTCAAATTTCAATACATCGATTTGTTATTAATTCAAAAGGATGTAAAGGATTGAAGAGGGAGATGATGAGAGTGCACCTATGTAATCAGTGAGGACACAACCGTCGGACCATCTGCCGGAAGGTTTGCCGGGGAAAGTCATGCCATAAGGCTCACTCCAACTTGTGGAATCATTTGTAGCTGGCCAATTATTACCAGTGTCAGCGTATGAATCACCAAAAACAAACAGCTTCTTTGGCCCCTCATTTAGCACAATCATCTTCCCTGTCCTTGCCCCTTCTACCTCTGAATTTGTCAATGCACATACTACTTTCAATTATTTATGTAGCCAATTAAAACTAAACATATATCATTCATGAAGCTAATTACGGTTTTTGAATTAAAAGAAACTTCAATTAACACATAGGATTATATTACCTGGTAAAAGTGTGGTTAAGCAAGTTAAGAGACAAAAGAGGATGGAGAAACAACCTTTTTTCTCCATGGTCTAAACAATATTATTGATCGACAAATTGGCTCAGAAAAGTTTATGTAACTTTCTTAGAATCTTTTCGTTTTGCTTTTCTAAGATATTGCAAAGGTGAAATATGCTTTAATTGTCTATATATACGCACGAATCCCTTGGCTTGTTTCTAAATTAATTGATTTCTATGTACCGGCATGCAGTGGCGTATCCAGAAAATCTGTTCAGTGGGGGCAAGTTTGCACTAACATTATCACAATTTTTTAGGAAATAAATATTAATTAAAAAAATTGACAATTTATTAAAAATAAAGACTATTTTTTTATAAGAAACAGATAAATTATGTAATTATAAGTTTATAACTGATTTAGGTTACAAATAAACAAGTGTGTTTTAATATTAAGTGAGATGCAATTTAAATTACATACCATTTATTAGTTACGTTAAAAAATTATTTTAAACTAATTTGGATCTTAGATTTAGATAATCTATACTTTATTAAATACAAAATAAAAAATATACAAGAAATGGATGAAATATGTAATTTATAAGTGATTTGAGTTACAAATAAATAACTTTTAATATTAACTATGCAAAGATGTTGATGAAATTACATATCACTTATTAGCTGCATTAAAAAAATTAATTTAAGTTTTACATTTGAACAAATTTTAAACACTCTAAAGGAAAGCGAAAAAAACTACAATGAAGTGGCCTATGGGATTCGAACATGACCACAGTTCCTACGCGTGCGCCACTTCTACGGCTGGGCTACAACACTCTTTCATTAAATTTAGGATTTTAAACATTATTATACTATACATATGACAATGATATATGTACACAAATAAAATTATATATATATAATGGGGTTAGGTGGGGGTTGAGTGGGGGCCCCTACCCCATAGTAGATATGCCCCTGCCGGCATGGCGATTAGTGTACGTACTACGTAGTACTAGTATATTATAATCGACACTGTCTATCTAGGTTTGATATATACGGAGTACTAGTATATAATACTCCGTAATACATTTGGTATACTCTGTTCACCGTACAATTGGAATGGTCATTGTTAGCCGTTTTTTAAAGTTTATACCAGGTATGTTTTTATGGATCATATTGATATTGAATATTTTATTTTATTTAATAATAAATTGGTAAATTATATTGTTCCCGGCCTTTGGCATTATTATTTTTGTCAGTGTGGACGGCTCCATATCTATGCTCTCTCCTTATATTTTTTGGTGAGTACTCCGGTACCCATTTAAAAAATGGGGTACCGTATCTATCATTCACTTTTTGGTGAGTATACGGCTACACCCGGTGTGGGCCCCACGTGCGAATTTACTATTCACGCAAAAGAATTAATAAAACTTCACAACTCCGCATACTCATTAACCATTCCATAAGGTTCAATACATTATTCACTTAAAAGTAAATACATTTGGGGACGGTGTTACAGGTATGGATATGGATATGGTATCAGTATTGGTATTGGTATCGGTATCGGTATCGGTATCGGTATCGGTATAGGTATAAGTATAGCCGTATAGCCGTATAGGTATAGGTATGGGTATGGGTATGGGTATGGGTATGGGTATGGGTATGGGTATGGGTATGGGTATGGGTATGGGTATGGGTATGGGTATGGGTATGGGTATGGGTATGGGTGGGTATGGGTATGGGTATGGGTATGGGTATGGGTATGGGTATGGGTATGGGTATGGGTATGGGTATGGGTATGGGTATGGGTATGGGTATGGGTATGGGTATGGGTATGGGTATGGGTATGGGTATGGGCATAGGCATAGGCATAGGCATAGGTATAGGTATAGGCATAGGTATAGATATAGATATAGATTTCATATTAATAGTAAATATAGTCTGGCGGTTATTAAAAATGATGTTATGTTGTACACGAAGTTAGGAATGGACTGATTCACCAATTTGAGACAAGCCATAAACAGAACAGGCCGGTTCATGGGGCCGGTTTGCCCGATTCGGTTATGAGACCAGCCTTGGGGTTCAAAGGTGCCGGTCCATGGCTGCCTTTTTGGGACGGAATCAGCCGGTACAGCCTTGTTTTATATATTTCAAACATTAGAAGTATTTTAAGAGATCTTTTACTTGGACTGGGTTCAGTCTAAGACGAGACCAAAACACATCAATCCATAGAGTCATATACCAGATCTTCAACAGTTGTAAAATGCACATACACCCAACATCTATTAGACCAGACATCCATGGCTGTAAAATACACATAACATCAGACATCTACTAGACCACGGCAGTTCAGATCAGACCAGACTTAAGCGGACAAGATCGGACCAGACCTGAATATAAAATTACAGTGTGATTAAAAACATCTTAAATCCTTCTAAAAGCTAAAAAGGGTGGGGAGGGAGGATGAGAGGGTTTAAGACAGCTAAAAACGGGACCGATCAGAACTGGCCGGAACTTGGGGCCTCATCCAAACCAAGTAGAAGTCCCGGATGTAAGAACTTGAAGGAGAATTTGAATGTATGTAAGTAATCTACTCATATAAAACATTACCGTCATCAAAAGTGATTATGTTTTATTCTTATTACAATACTAGTTTTTATACGCGCGTTGTGCGATTGGGTAAATGCCCAATATTATGTACATGAAATATACTTTTATAGAGATCGCTATGAAATTGAAACTACAAGCGCAAAGAACAAAAGTGAAAAATGTTGGAAGTAAGAAGAAATATTACAAACATTTCCCGTAGTATTATATGTAAAGCAAAACCTAAAATTAATACACCATAGGTGATCATAAAACATTTAATCACCCTTTTTCATTTCTAAAAACAAATTAAAACTCAAGAAATAGACTCAAAAACCAAATCATCTCTCACCCAGAACCCCAAACTTCCATCTAAATTGGCCATTAAAAGTTCTCCTCATTTATTTTGTTTATACCAAAAATTAACCTTAATCATTCATTAGTTCAAACAACATGAATGGAATAATATAATAATAAAACATGGTAAAGTAAATGATCGTTCAGTAAAATTATAGCAAAAACACAAAACCAGATTTATTAATTAACCTCCATTAAAAATTTGTATCTCAAAATTTGTAACTCATGAAAGTGAATAATGCCCATAAACATGTTTAATTGACACATGGTGATGAGTACGTACATCAGTAAGAACTTAATATACCGTGGCAGAACGCAAACATCTTATTTATTGGTCCAGCCTAACGTCAAGTTTTTTGAGTTTTCAATCTTTAATCTAGTCCAGATCAATCTGGTCTTGAGTCAATGAACACCCAAAACAAAGAACACATTAAAAGTCACAGGATCATATGTTCAGCAAGCTCACCGAAAATATGTGTTAAAAAAACCAGATAACGAAGTTTTAATTTTTTAAGCTCTATATGTTCAGCAGGCTTTCCATACAACATTTCAAAATGAGTCTTGTTTTGGAGAACAGGAGTGGGGAGACGATTGATTAAATAGGTAGCCGTGAGCACACAATGACCCCAGAATTCTAATGGCAAATGAGCCTGAAAACGTAAAGCACGAGCAATATTAAGAATATGTTGATGCTTACGTTCCACTCTCCCATTTTGTTGAGGAGTACTAACACATGAAGTTTCATGTACAATGCCATGTTCACGAAAATAAGAAGTCATGCACATAAACTCAGAGTCATTATCAGTGCGAATGACCCTAACTAATTTGCCAAATTGCCGAGAAACTAGGGCAAGAAATTTTCGTAACATAGTTGGGACTTGTGATTTTTCATGCAACAAATAAATCCATACAGCACGAGAAAAATCATCAACGATAGTAAAAAAATAACGAGATCCACAAAAAGCAGGCACACGACAGGGTCCCCAAACATCACAATGTATTAAATTAAATGATTCAGAACAATGAGACGTACTAAGAGAAAAAGTGTCACGAGGTTGTTTGGCACGTAAACACACGACACAAGGTTTATCATGAAAAAGTGAACTGAAAGAACTATCATGAAGAAATAACTTTTCTAAAACTCGAGAAGAGGGATGACCCAACCGCTGATGCCAAAGAGAGAGTGTGCCTTGACAGGGGAATTTAATTGCCGCAGCAGCAGCCGTGTTACGGAAAAAATATAGTCCCCCACATTGCTCACCCGAACCAATCACAAGATGTATTAGTGAAATTAGCAGTGCAATTGGACCGATTCAAAAGCTGAAATAAAGAAATAAGACTGCATTTTAGGCCAGGGACATATAAAACTTCATATAAAATCACACGGCTACTAAGAGTGACAGTCCCAGCTTTTTGCGCCATAGTCACAGTTCCATTCGGAAGTTGAACCGGGCGAGGAACAATAGTTTCAATATCTGAAAAACACTCCAGAAATCCAGTCATGTGATGAGTTGCTCCACAATCAAAAATCCAAGAAAATAATTTTTTACCAGAAAGATGTTCATGTGATGGATCCATTTTTAAAGTATTCAAATGATGAACCAAAGCAGACCACTGCTCAGTAGTCAAGCATGTGATAACACCATCACCATCACCAATAACAGTAGACTGGGCCGATGCTAAGGTCGTATTTGCGTGCATCAGTTCACTGCCAGAGCTGGAGGGAGCAGAGTGAGACGCTGAACTCCCAGAACTCGAACTGGTAGAGCGTTGACCACCACGACCACGACCACCGGAACGGCCACCACGCTTGTTAGGAAAACCATGTTTAGAGTAACACCAGGGTTCATCATGCCCTGTCTTGCCACAGTAAGTACACAAAAGAGGGGCGATTAGAGACGGCACCTGCAAAAGAAAAAGTAGACGGAAGAGCCGCCCCAACGCCCGTATTGTTGGAAACTGTGGCCTCACGAGCTTTAAGAGAGAAACCCATGGCCTGTCCAGTATCAGTTTCTGAGCTAGACATCTCACGCAAACGAATACGTTCCACTTGAGTCATGATTGCATACACACGCTCAAAAGAGGGCAAAGGATCGTGAGACAAAACAGAGGAACGGGCTGTCCCATAGAGCGCAGAATCTAAACCCAACAGAAATTGGTGTGTTTTAGCAACCTCACGAGCCTGTTCAAACTCCTGGGAGAGATTACGCGTACAACCCCC